ATCTCTCTTCTAACTCCATACTTGTATGTCCAACTCTACTCAGTATTTCCACTTGACTAAGAGGTACCTCAGTCTTCACTTGTCTAGACCTTTCTACTTTTAACCAAGATGCAGAAAATAAATACGCAAAAGTATAATTTTAATAAGTACTGCTGAATTATCCTTCAGAAAAGAAGTATCAATTTGATGTCCCACAGAGAATTTACAGGAGTAAATTCTCCCCCATGTGTCTACATTAACTATGATTTCTCTCTCTCTACCTTGGGTGGTATTAAACAATTTAATTAAATGAATCACTGAAAAATATTTCTATTACTCACCAGCTGATAGAAGATTGTGCAAGAGAGAAGATAAGCAGATAAGAGGCTGTTTTAAAAACTGACTGTGAGGCCTGTCAGGGTCTACCTCTCTTCACAATGGACTTTGAAATAATTACACAATGGACTTTGTAACTTCAGATGAGAAACACTAAAGCTCTTGACCAGTTCACCACCATCATGTCTTCCAGGTATTAAAAAAAAAAAAACAAACCAAAAACCCAACCACTGAAACAACAAACCCCTAACTGAAACCAAACGCTCAAAGTAAATGAAGTTGAAAAGGTAAATGGTCTATTTACCAGAAACGGAAACACATGGTGTAGTGGTGCTAATATGAAACATCCCGGAATGTACCAGTAGCAGCTTTAAATTGTTAAAAAAACAGCAAGGCCTTTAAGCCACATGATAAAATCCCAAGATCTTTCAGAAAAGAAAGAGAATTCATAGTAAACTAGGTTTTTCAGAAACACCTTTTTCTCTAGGCTTCCCCTCCTGTCCTTCCTTCTGTCTCGTATACACAACTACTTCAAAGATGTAAAAAATTTAGTAACCTATAAAATGATACAGAAAAAGTGTACAACAATACCTTTTAGTATCAAAATACAAGCTGTCATTAGCATGGCTTCTTTTAAAATCTTGCACTAAGAATGATCATGGATAAGATGGCACTCTATTTTAGAAAAGAGGAAGGAGGGAAAGCATATGAGAAAAGATTTGTGTTGCTATTAGCTGCCTGAGTCAGTTACAACTTAAAGGATCCTGCACACAAATAGAATGAAAACTGTGCTGTCCTGCACCATCCTCACAAGTGTTGCTGTGTTTGCTGAGCCCATTGCTACAACTAGGAAGCTCTGATGGCTCAGTGGTAACGAATTGCACTGTCAACCAAAAGGTACACAGTTCAAATCCACCAAGTTCCCAGGGAGGAAATGGACAATCTCCTCCTGTGCGATTAACTCCCTCTGAAAACATGCCGGAGGATCAGCAATGAGCCAGTTCTGACTCAAAGTTACACAGCATAACACAACAACAGCTGTACCAAGAGTGTAAAGCCATCTTGTTCAGCTGCTGCTTTTTCTCTGACTCTGCTTTCCTGAGCACGATGTCCTCCTCTCCAGGGATTGGGCCCTGCGGATAACTTTATTCTTGTCATCTTCACTTCTAAAGAACATTCCTGGCTGTATTTCTTCTAAGATTTTTAAAACCATTCTGTGAGGTGTGATCACATGAGAGGAAGCTGAAGTTAAGAGAGGCTGATATGCGTCAGGTTCCTTATGTGGTAACCAGAGCAGCAGGAATGTGAAATCAGACCTACTGATTCCAAAGTCTGTGTCCCCATTGTAACTACATTCTGCTGAAGCTAAGAATCCAGTTAGTACCCAAATAGATCAGACTGTAACTGTAAAATAATCTGAATAAAGACAATGCTTTTGCCAAACTGAGATATTTCATGAAAGCCCAACTACTCAGGAGAAGGAAAGCAGTCACACTTAGACTTGGAGACTGATGCCTATAGTACGAGTCAGTCATTCTAATCATTGAAAACCAAGGGCTCCTGGAAACAGAGGCCAGTTCACTAAAATCACTTGTTCATTGTTCGATCTGGTTCCTGACCTAAATGGCACCTCCTTCACAAAAGCACTATTATCCAAGTACACACCAAATGATAACTAGAGGGATACACATGATCTTTAGAATAAAAAACTCATTTAAATAGAGTAAGTCCCCAGGTTACCAAAGCCCAATTGAAAGAAAATTCCTGTTGTTGTTGTTGTTGTTATGTGCCATGGAGTTGCTCGTGACTCATAGTGACCCTGTGTATAACAGCTCTGGACCCTGGTCTATCTTGAGCCCATTTCATTGTCTCTGACACATCTACCTCTATTACCCTAGTCACTGAGTCAACCCATCTCATCGAGGGTCTTCCTCTCTTGCTCTGCCCCTTCACCCTTCCAAACATGATAGCCCTCTCTAAAGACAGGTCCCTCCTGGCAACATGCCCAAAGTATGTCTGATGGAGCTTCAGAATCCTTGCCTCCGAGGAACAGCCTGGTTTGCACCCTCTCCAGGACAGATCTGTTTGTTCTCTTAGCAGTCCACGGTACAGTCACTACTCTTCCCCTACTCCACAACTTGAAGGCAAAGATTCTTCTTCTGTCATCCGTTATTGTACAAAGACCATGGCCTGGATCAGCACACCTTGGTCTCTAGATTGACATCATTGCTCTTCAGTACTGTGGAGAGGTTCCTGACAGCAGATTTTCCCAATGCACTTCATCTTTGATTTCCTTGCTGCTGGTACCAAGAGTGTTGACTGATGAGCCAAGCAAGCTAAAACTGGTAAGAATCTCAATCTCTTCTCTGTCTGTCATGATGCTGCCAACTGGTCCAGTGATGAGAACCTTTGTTTTCTTTAAGTTGAGCTTCAATCTATATTGAAGACTATAGTCCTTGACCTTCTTCAGCAACTGCCTCAGGTCCTCCTCAGTTTTGGCAAACAAGGTTATATCATCTGCATAAAGCACGTTGTTGATGAGTCTTCCTCCAATCCTGATGTCACATTCTTCCTCATAGAGTCCAGTATGTTCTACATACAGATTTGAAAAGGTATGGAGATAGGATACATCCCTGATGTACAACTTTCCTGATTTTGAACCAAGCAGTGTTTCCTTACTCTGTTCTGATGACTGCCTCCTGGTCCAAATCTAGGTTTCACAAAATCACAATCAAGTGTTCTGGAATTCTCATTCTTCTCAAAGTTAACCCCAGTTTGTTGTGATCCACACAGTTAAATGCCTTTGCATAGGCAATGAAGCACACATAGACAATGTTCTGGTACTTTGGCTTTCAGATAAGATCCATCTAACATTGGCTATAATGTCCCTAGCGCCATGGCCTCTTCTAAACCCAGCCTGCATATCTGGCAGATCTCTGTCAATGTACTGTTCTAGTAATTTTTAGATAATTTTCAGCAAGATGTTACTTGCATATGATATTAATGATATTATTCAATAATTTCCTCACTCTGTTGGATCACCTTTATTTCTTGGAATGGATCTCTTCCAGTCAAGTGGTTGTCTTTCAGATTTCTTGGTACAACCTGGTGAGCACGTCCAGTGCAACATCTGTTTGTTGAAATATGTCAATTTGTATGTCAATTCCTTCAGAACAGCTTGACCCTCCTTCATCACCATTGTCTCCTGATCATTTGTTGTTTCATGAAATTCTTCTGTGTCAGCCAATTCTTTTTGATACAGTGACTCTGTGTACTCCTTCCATTTTCTTTTTTTTTGTTGTTGTTTGTTTGTTTTTCCTTCTTCCATGTTCTTTTGAGGCTTCCTGGGTAATTCAACATTCTGCCCACAGCAACTCCTACTTGCCCTTTAATGTTATGTAAATCTGTCCCACTTTGAAACAAACGAACCAACCACTCCTTACAACAAACCCTTCAAAACTATAACCTTTACTTGCTGCACATGCATCTTTAAAATCATTAAAAAGGCTCAGGCCTTATTCAGAACTAACATCAGGATTAATAAGAATCATACATGCCTATTCTGACTTAGTTAACTACAATGCAATTTAAAAACCTACTTGGGAACATATCTTTCATTAACATGTTGCTGCAAATGACAGTGATAGCCACCCTGCACATTTTAATTTTCACTTCCAAACATATGACTGACGCTCAATTTCATATGGCAGTCATAAACAATTGAACAAAAATGTGTTTCTAAGCACAATTATAAATTTAAAAGTGTGCAGCAACATGTTAACAGGACTGCCTGCCTGTATTAAAAAGACTATATCAAAACAACTGTGAAATATCATCTCACCCCAGTAAGAACAGCAAAATTTAACAGAACAGCAAATAACAAATGCTGGCGAGGTTGTGGAGAAACTGGAACCCTTATTCACTGTTGGCAGGAGTGTAAAATGTTGCAACCCCTGTGGAAAGCAGTATGGCGCTTTCTCAAAAAGTTGCAAATAGAAATACCATTTGACCCAGCAATTCCACTACTGGGAATACACCACAAAGAGACCATAACTGACATCCAAGCAGATATATGCACACTCATGTTTATTGTGGCTTTGTTCACAACAGCAAAGAGCTGGAAACAATCCAAGTGCCCATCAACAAACGAATGGATAGAGATGCTGTGGTATATTTACACAATGGAATACTACACCACATTGAAAAACAAGGAACTCATGAAATATTATGCAAAATGGATGACGCTGGAAGACATTATGCTGAGTGAAATATGTCAGTTACAACAGGACAAATATTGCATAGTGCCATTGTTGTAAAATGGGACTGACATCAGGGTTGAGGGAAGACAGAAAAGAGGGGGAGAAAGCACTGAAACAGCTGAGAGAGTAAACTGTTTAAAAGGGATATGTGAATGGGTATTCTTGTCATTACAGAATTTCAGAGTGAAGGCTGCATAGTGGAGTGGACTTGGGGGGATTACATAACAATGAAAAAGTTTTTCTTTTCAAGGAGAAGAGTGAATTGGGGAGGAGGGAGTGGGCAGGGAGAAAAGTGCAACAATGAATAACTGGAAACCCTAATTCTCTGCAAACTTTCATTTAAACTAATTTTTAAAAAGTTAATTAAAAAATTGGGGGGGGGGAAGACTATCATTACCCTGACCTTTATTGATTTTACTTACTTACCTGGGGATGTGAAATTACAGGCGTGGAAGTAGAGACAGCTGCCATGTTTGGGGTCGTGGAAGATGAGCTAGGGCCCGGCACACAGCGCTGGATGCAGGATTCAAAATCTTGTGGTTGTTGATCAGAGCACAGTCATGCTAGGAAAATTGTGTACCTGGAAAAGGAGAATACTACTTAGATTTTGATTCCCAGGGGTAGCACACTGGCCAGAAGCAGCAGAAATCCTTTGACCAAATGCCACATACCCGCTTTATGAGAAGACAACCATGACAGGTAGCAGCTAAAATCTGAAAACCATTTTAAATATGTCATATGTCAATACCATTTTGTCAATACCAACGTCATACATAGTGTCAAAACCATTTTATCCAAATGATGCTTAGCTGATGTACTTTACTAAGTCTGAATCCAAATCTTTGTGCTGATAATAGAGTTTTGAGCTGTGAGGAAGTCATCTTGTCATTAAATAATAAAGGAACTGAATGGCCTACTATTGACGGATGATAGTTATAGGCATAAAAAGCAAACAGAATAATGCCACAAAAGAGACTGTCCATTTCCATTTTATCCTTTTGCAGAGGAGAACAACCTGGAAGAACGTACCTAGTACTGGCAGAAACAGAAGCCCCAAGTCCAGTGTAAAACATAATGGAGTGAATAGGCCCCATGATTATACTTCCCCAAGGAATCTCAGTACCATGGAAAAAAGGCTAAAACACCACAAAAGTATAGAATTCTGTCAGAGGAATGAGTCATGTACTCCAAAAGATAGAGAAGGACTCAATAAATTTTAGCTACAAAAAAAGCAAGTCTAGATCTTTCATATGTGGGAGAAAATCTAAAATCCTTTTAATATTCTCAGTAAGCAGAGAGTACAACCACATACTTAAGTTACTAAAACATTCATCAAGAAAAATTAGAAAGAACCTAAATGCCTCACAGTAATGTATGATCCTAAATTTGTCTAAAGTATGATGTGATGTTTCCACATTTCAGTTTAATCCACAAGTGGGAACATTTTTCTATTTTAAGAAAACACACCACCTAGCTTTTCTCTTATTCAAAAAAGTATTATTGAGCAGCTCCAGCTAGTGCTGGGCCTAATAGCTATATAAAATGGAGGCAGTCTTGTCTTCAGAGAACCCAGGTCTGGAAATATATTTTCACCAGCATGTAAAATGATAATGCTTTTAAGTCTCTGGAAAACCATACTTCTCAAAGTGATTAAAAAAAAAAGTGCTCAATCAGAGATTACAAAACTCAAACCTTGTGAAGTAGCAGTGGTAAAATTGGACATCTAATCCAAGTTCTTTGATCCCAAATCCTATAGAGGCACTCGGTATTCTGAGGCACTTTAGTGGGTAATGAGTTGCACTGCCTGGCAGTTCTAATCCACCAGCTGCTCTGCAGGACAATCTCTTGCCATGCGATTTTTAGTCTCTAAAAAACCTCTGCAGGATTAGCTATGAGTCACTTTCAACAAAACAGCATAAGACACCACCACTGTTTAGTATTTATTGTATGACACTTGGCATATCATATAACCTCCAAAAGTCTGCCTTCCACAGAAATGATCTGAACTCCACATTTTCCTTTTTATTTGGTGTACATTATCTCTCATATTGTTGTTATGTACTATCAAGCTAGAACCAACTCATAGTTGACCCTCCAGGGCAGTAAATCCTTCAAAGGTAATAACTGTCACAGGAGAAAACCCCCCAACTCTCTCCCAAGGAGCAGCTGATGGATTGGAATCGTGTGCCTCTGGGTAGGCAGCACAACATCTACCACTGAGTCACCAGAGCTCTGTATTACCTTTCAAGCTGTGGCTCAGATAATTTTTTTTTTAATAGTACAGAATGAATTGCACTGGGAAAAATCTGCCATCAGGGACCTCTCCTGAGTACTGAGAAGCAATGATGTCAGTCTAAAGACTAAGATACACCTGATCCAGGCCACAGTCTTTACAATTACTTGCTATGCATCAGAGAGCTGGACAGTTGCTAAGGATGGCAGAAGATGAAGTGATGCCTTTGAGTTGTGGTGCTGGAGAAGAATGTTGAACATACCATGGACCATCAAGAAAACAAATAGGACTGTCTTGGAGAGGGGAAAACCAAGTTTCTCCTTGAAGGCTAGGATATTGAAGCTCCCCATCTCTCATACTTTGGGCATGTGGCCAGGAGTGACCAGTCCTTGGAAAAGGACATCATGCTCAGAAGGGTAGAGGGATGGTGCTGAAGAGAAAGACACCAGATGAGATGGAGTGACACAGTAATTAGGGTAATGCCAGCAGGTGTGTTGAAGTCAATGAGACTGAGTCAGGACATGGCAGCCTTCAGAGCTGTGGTACACAGGGTAGCTATGAGGTGTGGGTAACTCAGCAACACATTAACAACAATAACAGAATTTCAAAATTATCATATCTGGCATTCCCTTTAAGAACAGGAACTAGGCAAGGATGCCCACTATCACCTCTTTTATTCAATATTGTTTTGGAAGTCTTAGCAATAGCAATAAGACAAGAG